TCTGTCTGTTAATGTTTTCCTCCTTTCATTTTTAAAATTAAAAAAAAATACCAAATAATTAGGAGGGAAATGGCAAAATTTGAAAATTCCTATTTTCTTACCCCCACACAGTGATGATGGATTCAAGAAAATATCATCAATAGGTATTATAACAGTGGATCATCTGTTCTCAAAGTGGCACCCACAGGACTTACTGCTCATAGACAGAAAGTGTCACTAAATGGAGAGGTATAAAGAGTGCAGCGTGAACTAAGAAAGCAATAGCTTCACAAATACTTTGACAGCTGACACTACAGCCTTCCTGAAATGACACAACAAGAAGTTTACATTACAACACCATCTAAAGAATAGTTTTTTTCTTTAAGGTCTTAGTTACTTTTCTCAGGGCATTTGTAGTTCAATGGTAGAATTCTTGCCTCCCATGCAGGATACCCAGGTTTGATTCCTGGCCAATACATTACTCTTTCCTTCAGCATTTGGCACCAGAGGAGTGGGGTTGTTGCTGTTTGTGTACTTGACATATGGCTTAGGAGCCTTTAGAACTGGTTTGTGGGAATGGGAAGAGTCAGGAAAGATTTAGGCTCAGGAGGTTTCTGCTGGGAAGAAGGACTGCACTGATTGTTGGACTCCAGATGATGTGTATTGTGGCTTGCCAGAAAGTTTGTATGCATTTTGGTCACATCCAGAACTTTGCCTAAGACCGGGAATAATGGCAGCAGACCAATTAATCTTGCAGAAGAAATTCCAAGGTAATCTAATGTTGAGGCAGTGGCATGGTTACTGTTGGGGCTTTTATCCAGATTTATATTGAGAATCAGTAGGAAAGAACCCAGCAGGATGATTCAAAACATTATGAGTTTGGCTAGAAAGGTAGCTCCAGTAAAGCTGTGGCTTGCAAAGACAAAACAGAGGAAAAATTGCTGGGAAAACTAGCAAGAAAAAGCCAAGTGTTTCGGAAGAAGGCAACAGAAAAGATGGCCTGGAGACATCATAAGAACGAGCAGAATACACATTTTGGAGCCTCAGAGTTGCAAAGGTGAAAGAATTTAGTTTGAAAAGAGAGCCCTAGGCATGTTCCAGCATGGCAGAAGCCTAGGGAAGTTGTTCCTAGGGATTTGGTTCATAGACATTTGACTCCTATAGCCAAGAGAGAAGGAAGCCTCATTACTGCCCCAGTTGGCAGCAGACCGTGGCATCATGCACATAGTGCTGGTTTTATGTGTATGCAGAACGCAAGAGTTGTGAGTTCAGGAAAGCACCTACCCAGATTTCAGAAGAAGGCCTGAGAGGCCAGGCAATGTGGCCCTGAGAGGGCTATGTAGTGTGAAGCCAAACATTCAGAGGAGACACCAAAAGTTTGGAGAAGCCAGAAACGTGGATCATCTGAAGAAAACTGCAAGGAGGGAAGAGAGTCAGACCAAGAGAGAAGCTATGGGAGCTACAGCCACCAGCACTGCTGTAGCAACAGAGCCCTTTGGAGTTCACATCTTGCCACAGATTCCCTCAGATAGTGCACATGGAGCTGCAGGATTTGATTGCCCTGTTGGACTTTGGACTTGCTCTGGCCCTGTTCCTTTCTATCCTCCTAGCTGTACCTTTTTGAATGGTAATGTCTATCTTGTACCATTGTATACTGGAAGTATTTAGCCTTCTTTTGATTTGTACAGGGTCTCACAGCTAAGAGTTTTTCTTGAATCTCAGATGAGAGTTTTGATTTGCACTTCTCAGCAGTACTAAACCTGTTAGGATTTTGGCCACTCTTAGGGATGGACTAAACATCTTTTGCTAAAGAGATATGCATGAATTTTTGGTGGGCTAGGGGGGCATGTTATGGCTTGTGTTTAGAAGTCCCCACAAATCCTCATGTGATTATAGGTGGGCTTTTTAGAGGTGACCAAATTTAGAGTTTATGATTGATTCATGGTAGAATGCTAGGACTAAGGATGCTAGGATGAAGGGTGGGTGATTACTAAATCAGTCCACCAGCTGGTTTGGCACTGTTTCTATCCTGGTTGCCTGGATATAGTATAAGGGACAGAAAGAGCCTTGTCTTGTCTGCCACTTGCTTTGCTACCTTCTGTCTGTCATGAACTCTTTCTCTTCTGCATTGCCTTTCTGTCATGCCACTCTGCCTTGGAGCCAGCCGACTATGGACTGAAAGTTTCATGAATTGTTACCCAAGTAAATCTTTCTTCCTTTAACGTGTGGGTATTGGTTATTTTGTCTCAGCAATGAGAAAAGTAACAAAGACTAGCAGATGGAGGGGAGATGTGACTTGGGTTAGGTGAGGATCTTGCCCTCTTGGTAGGAAGCTCTGCTTCTGTAAGTGCACCCAGCTTTCTATTACACGTAGAAAGTAGGAGAGAAAGAGGAAGGGTTGCTGCCAGCTGAGCTCTTCGCTGGCCAACCTTCCCTGCTTTGAAATTCTCCCCCAGGCCACCTCACCCAATGATGTCAGCTGGGGGGGAGCCCTGCCAGCCCTCCCCACTCACAAGATGATGTCCAAGGGGAAATGGACACTGTCTTTGCTCAGGAAACATCTGGTTGATCCACTAGTCCTCAGGCAGGTCACAGGCTGTTTTATAAGTTAGTGGGGCAGAATAGAATGGGAAGACACAGAGCTTCAGCGATTACTCAACCTTGCCATCAAGTTACAGATGAAAATGAGATGTGAGGAAAGGGCCTCCCTAGCAGCCCCCTACAGGGACCGGGTGCAGCCGTCATGCACCTTCACATTTCCCAGCTTGTAATGGAAAATGAATGCTGTTAACAAGCGCTTAAAGTGGCTGGAATGGGAACATGAGCCAAGCTGTGGAGTGGAGGGCAAACTCCTATTTGGAAGCTCTCAGCAGTCCTCTGATTATTCAATACCAGGCCTGAAATATCGGTTCCTAATGAACAGAATTATTCACTCTCCCTTGGAAAATGAAACACCACATTCATTGGTAAACAGAATCTATGGCCACTTAAAACCAGATCCAGGCCCGCACAAGCTGTCTGACATCAAACAAAAGTAGCTATATGGCTTGCATGGGAGCTCTGGGTACCACTTGTACCATGCTTGGTTTCCATTGATGGTTATCTCCGTTCATGAGGCACTAGAAAAGAACTGGGCAAAAGTGCTGAGATATAATGGGTTTGATGTGCTGTTCTTCTCTCAGCTCAGCACCCCCCCATTCTGTCCCTGTACTGTCCTCCCCAGCCTCCACCCCCTCCCCACCCTGATGTGTCACCAAGGAAGACAGGTTTTCTTCCCTTTGAGGACACTGGCCTGCAAAAGACAAGACATCTTCTGGCCCTGTTTTGGCTCCTGTCTCCTCCCCTCCTCCAGTGAAGTCAATAATGCCATTCCGCTGTGCAGAATTCTTTTTAGGTATTCAGTGCAAGTCTTCTAAAGATGTGGAATGAGAAAAGTAATTTTTTTAAAAACCTGGAAACCATAATTTGAACAATTCTAAAAACTCATTTGGTCTCGATGTTCACTCTTTGGAAAGAATTAAGTGAAACACAAGGTTAAGAGTACTTTTCTTTTGACCCATCTTTCTAGAATACTGGTTATATTGAGACCATGGGGCACTGGGGTTGTCACACCTCGTTTGGGTCATTCATTCTTTTGGCAAATAGCTTAGAATAGTTTTCATATTCTACACTGTGTAAGCATAACTGAAAATAAGGCCTGGCTCAGCACTCTCTTGGAGCCTGTGCAAATGAACAAACAACCAATAGCCTGTAATATAAGTAGTATATATCATGCAGGTGGGGTAATGAAATAGAGAATGACTCTTTACCTATTCGCTGGTTATTTCTGCTACACAGCCCCTCAGAGGAGGTGACATTTCAACAATGACACACTTGATTTGGTGATTTGAAGCTCATGTGAATCGGGGTGCAGGGCACTGCAGGCAGGGAGCACATCTGCTACAAGGATTGCTACAAGGGCAAGCGTGGCCCTCTGCCAGAACAGAAGGAAAAAATCCATGGGGTTGAAATATGGGGATGGAGGCAAAGAGGGATATAAAGGCCACAGCATGGAGGGCTTTGTGGCTCAAGGGAGAAAATTTGTAGTTGATTCTACAGGTTATACCAGAAGTCATGGGGAGTTTTAAGAGAGGTAGTGATCTCACCTGACTTCATTTCTGGAAAACCTGTCTCACTGGTACATGGAATGTACATGCAGGAATAATTGTAGGAGGACAACAATGGAGATCCATTTAAAGCCTTTTCAAGCCATCTAGAGTGCAACAAAGAGTGTAGACTAATATAGGAGCAACAGAGAAAGAAGCAGTTAGACTGGGAATTTGTTTTGGATGTACATCCTTGAGAGCTGCAGGCCAGTTTATCTTGGCAAAGTTACTGAACTTGGAGATTTCAAAATGAACTAGGAGAGAAGAGAAGGTAACTTCCACATAGAGAAATGAAGGTGGGAAGTCGTATAATGTTGATAACTCAATATCAAAAAGCAGCATCAAGACCCAGAGAAAGCAACAGAAAAGGAAGACCTTGGGATTTTTGAGATCCCAGTCTATTTCTAAGCTGGCTGAGTTCCTTCAGCTATGTTCTTTAGCCCCTCTGAGCCATATATTTTATTTCTTTCCAGTAACTTAGAGATGGTATTTTCTATTTCACCCAAGACCAAGCTATAAGAAAAGCATCCAGTCTAGTGCCTAGCAAACCATACAAGCTTCATAATGATACATCTTTTCTTACATGAGAACATTCTATTCTTAGCGACTGTTCATGCATAGTTTTATGTGTCAACTTAGCTCAACCATGAGGTGCCCAGACATTTGGTCAAATATTCTGGGTGTGCTGGTGAGAATACTTGGGGATGAGACTAACGTTTGAACTGGTAGATGGAATAAGGTAGATTGCCCTCCCTCCTGTGAGACACCCTCACCCAGTCAGTCCTGGGAAGAACAAAAAGGCTGAACTTCAGAGAGCAAGAGAGAACTTTCCCTGCCTGGCTGCTTTGAGCTGAGAATACTGGTTTTCTCTGGCTTTCAGAATCTGAGAAAATGAAATGCAGCCTCCTCTAGAGTCTCTAGCTTGCCAATTTGGGGACGAGAACTGCACTGTGGACTTTTCCAGATTGAAGACTCCAGAGCCTGGGACTTCTTCGACTCCTTGTCGATTATGTTTCTCTGGAGGACCTAGAGAAATTCAGCCAGGGAATCAAAGACCACCTATAGAAGAGAGAACTCTTCCAATCTAAAGGTGCTGGATTTCATTTATTCAGCACTATCACACATTAGGTTTTTTTTTTTTTTAAATCAGTGAGTACCTTGGAGATAATACAGTAACCCTTGAATTTGGGGAGAAATTTGATAAAAACTTGGGGAAAGATTCCTTCAGAAGCCAAAGGAGTACCTGAGCACAGAGGTAGAGCAATGGGAGACTAAGAGTTACATCTAATTGGGGGAGGGGTAATAACTAATAGTTGATGTTAATTAATCACTTATTAAATAGATGAGATGATTGATGATTGACAAATCAGAGATGATTGACTATTTATGAAATGGCAGGCACAGGCCCGGGAGAACAGAGGTCTGTGAATGCGGAGGCATTTGAGCTGGTTATCGATCTTCTACTCTGAAGTCCTTTGTGTTATTTATTAGTTGCTTTAGGCAAAGCTGGTAATTTTTTTTTAATTGCTGGGAATCATGGCACACGCCCATAATCCCAGCAACCTGAGAGACTGAGGCAAGAAGATCGCAAGTTCAAGTAAGGTCTGGGTGACTTAGTGACTTAGAAAGACCTTGTCTCAAAAAATGAAAAGTGGTCTGGGAATGTAGCTTCTTGTAATGAACATGGGTTCAATCCTCTGTATCACAAAAACAAATGAAAAACAAACAAACACTTTGGCTGCAATAAGAAGGAAGACTATTTCTTTCTCCAACAGTCACCAAAGTGGGTGGCTTAAAAACAGAGCAAGGAGGGAAGAACTATTTGCAATCCCTAATCTTAGCTTTGATCTTTGAATCCAAGGTGTTTACCCCAGGTCTCATTTCCCAGACACAGGGGAAGGGACAAGGACCAAATGAGGTCACACCTCTCCTTTTAGTATCCTGAGCTGGAAGTGACACGTATTACTTACACAACTCGGGCTGGAATTCAGTCCCATGATTATATGTCACTACCCTGGAGAGGTGGAGCTAGAAGACATGCACTCTGGTAAAACTCAGTTACTATGGAGTGAGCAGGCAGCAGATCCTGTGGATCATTAGCAGTATGCTACCAGCTACTAAATTAAGTTTTCCTTCCATATGGTGGTGAACACATACTTCCTCATTATTGTAAACATTTGGACACATAGCCCACATCACCGACATCCTGTAAATTCCCTAGTGGAAGAATTCATTTCACCTCTCTGTACACCAAAGGCCAGCACTAGACCCAGGAAATCAAGCAGAGAACTTAAAAAGTCACGAACACAGCATAGCACTTAGTCACTATGACATTGTTATGTCTTATGAAATGGAGCACTTTTATGTGTATCCAAGTAGATGTATACACACATATGCATATATATTAGCAAAATCAATAATGTTTCTAAAGCCTTCTATTTGCGTTCAGTTGGTTCTGAACTCTGTGACCCAAATAAATATTTCTGTCTTCTCAGGAAAAAAGAAATCTCCCTTATAGTTGGAGATGAATATAGAAAAATAAAATTTTGAGAAAGTGGACTTGCTTTTTTGGGGGGGCAGGCCCTGAAATCAAACTCAGGAGACTTGCATATTTTTTATGTCTTTTTTTTTCTTTCCCACTTCTGTTCTTAGGAATGGTTCTGTTCTGATGGGCTAAATGACACAGCCCCAGTGAAAGGTGTCCTTCCTTCCTATGTACCCCAGCACAGGCCAGGAGAGCTGGCGGGATGTTGGATGTTCTTATGCTTTATATCAAGACATCCCCCCAAAACCTCATGTGCTCATATAGTCAGAGCTTCTGAAGGTAAATGAACTGTGGGGTTGAAAGGATTTAGGTGGAAGAGGTAGATCACTCAGGCATTACTTGGGAGGACGTATCTCCCTTCTTTGCTCCACACATCTCTGCTTCCTGGATGCTGTGATGTGCACAGCTTTTCTCTTGCTACACCCCTCTGCCGTGTCATCCCATCTTGGAGCCATCCAACTATGGATGACAATTGTGAGCCAAAATAAACATCTCTGAAATTATGGGCGTTAGGTACTGTGTCCCAGTGGCAAAAAAGTGACCAAGACAGTGTAAGGAAAAGCTGAAGCTGGAAATTGATCACATATGTGGGAGCGAGGCAAGCACAGTTCAAGAATAAAGAGTGTCTGAAGCAAGCCATGTGAACAAGCTGCTTCAGTCCAGAGAACACCAAGCCCTTAGACAATCCAAGCAATAGGTTGCTAGGCAAAGCGGTGTCATGTGACATCAATCTGCCAAATGTATAAATAAATGAGCTACAGTGGTTGAGCAGCTCCTTTCCACCCATCTGGAGAAATGGCTCCACCTGACCTCAGCTTTCTGTCTCATTTCTTTACCTCTCCATCCTCTCAATATCCTTTCCCCTTGTGGAGTTCAAAAGCTGCACTGGACACAGCAAGACAGATGCCCTCTTCCATTTTCATTCTTTATAGTTAAACTTCAGAAGCTGGTGCTCTACTTTGGAAATTCAATGTAAGTATTGACATTTCTATGTGCTGCCTGACCATGAGGTGGATTCAAAGCAACAGGACTTAACACACTATAGCGTGTCCCCCAGGACCATAATGAAGGGACCGTAGGAAACGTGGGTTAGTCATGGAGAAAATGAGCAGCTGTTAGGAATTAATAAATCATATTAAATCACTCCTCAACCTAAAAGCCTATAAAGCTTTTTGGTGCTCTTGGTGTTAAGTCTAGAACTCTTGTAGAGCTATCAAGATCACCCATGGCCTACATACATATTTCTTCAGCCATATGAAAGTGCAGGTCTCCTTTCCTTGGGGAGAAGAAGGGAAGGGGAAGGAAAGGACAGGATAAGATCAAACTGTGCTATATGTATGTCTGAAAATATCACAATGAAACCTGTTATTCTGTATAATCAATATGCGCTGGAGTGAAAAGACCCCTTTCCTCAAGTCATTGCTCCAGCCATACTGGCCTTTTGTTGCTCTTCAGATGTCAC